ATATCTGTCACAGACGACCACGGATATGTTCCACTTGTCGTAGCAACATTCCAGTTCTCTTTTTCTCGATTGCTGCAATGCAATTTCACCGATTCAGAATTGTAGCCAAACGATTGCTTACCATGAACAAGACGGATTCCGCGTGAGGATTAGGATCTGCTTATCTGTCAGGGCCTCCTGAGACCACCCTCTGTTTTAGTGGGGATTATCAGTTTCAGTTTGCTATGTTGTTTGTGTAGAATGTAGTTTGTCTTTTTGTCATTTTTGTTTTTGTTTTTGCCATGGTTTCGTCTCTTCGACTTATAAGCTGTGTGCTTTGTTATATTCTGTGTGTTTTGCTATAATTTAAAAAATATAATAGTTAAACAAAAATTTTCACCGAAAACGATCGTCTATACAATATCTAATGAAACGGCAACTGATTAAGGTAGCTAGGGTGTCTAAAAGTTCGACGATAATTTTTTCTTAAACTTCGGTTAAAAACTTCTTGGTTAATGTACTATCAAATTTCAATATAATAACTGGGGTCACGGACCTTGTTTATTCATTACAATACATGGAAATTAACGAAATCACAGTCATTCTATATGGTTATATAGGGGAAACTTAATTTTTCCTTATTGAGGAATATCAAACGCTAGAATTTGTTAAAATTCAATGACAGGATTGTTTTCATTAAACACTTCCTAAATATGAAATATTTGGGGTCTTTATTTAAATCTGTTTTGTGTTTTGTTTTGTTTAATCTTGTAAACTCACACTTATAAACAGAAAATGTAAATAGCAAAAATGATTAACAGTGTTAGATCTACAAAAATATAATTTTACAGCTAATGTGAAATATTGTACTTCAACGACCATTTTAATAGTTTAAATTTACCAAGCGGAAATAAACACATTTATTCTAAAACCAGTTGCTGGCATGGTACTAGCTATGTTCTTCCCGTATTATTTATGATGGCATGATACCAAACCCCTAACGGGAGGGATTGTGAGTGATTTTCATATGATGAAGACATAATCTTTCGATCAGCTTAATTGAGGTCTGGAGCTGGCGTGTCAGTAACTGCTAGTTTCTTCTGTTACCTATTCTAACATCGGACTCGGACTTCTTTCAAATTGAGTTTTACTGTCCGTATTGCAATGTGTTTGTTTACTCCACATTGGCTAGAGGAATAGAGGAGGATTGAAATTTCAAAAAAACAAGATTAATCCGTCGCATTTTTGCGCCTGTCCCAAGTCAAGAACCTCTTGCCTTGGTAGTTATTGAGTGATTATTTAATTTTGGTTCATTTGTATGTTTCGGAGTTAACTTATAGAAGAAACATTGGTGGTCTTGGGCTGTTTTCTGTTCTTTGGTCGGGTTGTTGTCTCCTTGACACATTCAACGTTTCCATTCTCCATTCTAGGAAAGGGGAAATTGCCTACATTTTTCCATTTGTCTGAACTAATTGAAGTTTCAAGATAAATTATCTAGTCATGTCTTCTTTTGAAAGTTTTCCATTATATAGTTTGGAAGGCATTTCATAAATGAACTCATCATAGATACCAGGATTGAAATTTTGTATTTGCGCCAGACGCGCGTTTCGTCTACAAACGACTCATCAGTGACGCTCGAATCAAAAAAAGTTAAAAAGGCCAAATAAAGTTGAAGAGCATTGAGCACCAAATATTCCTAAAAGTTTTGCCAAATACAGCTAAGGTAATCTATTCCTGAGGTAGAAAAGCCTTAGTATTTTAAAAATTCAAGGTTTTGTAAACAGTTAATTTATAAAATATGGTTGTAACGAAACTAAGAATACTAGTACATTTTATTGATACGATAACTTGTTTAACTGACAGTGAAACATGGAAAAGTCAGGGTAAAAATTTCCCGTTTTTAATTCTCTCTCTCTCTCTCTCTCTCTCTCTCTCTCTCTCTCTCTCTCTCTCTCCTTTATTTTCTCTTTCAATGATTTGTTCTTGCTATTAAGGGGAGAGCTAACAAGCTTTTACAATTATATTGATATATATCTTGCGGCAGGTTTATTACAGATGAGTGTTTCCAATCCCATCGACCTTTTATGTGTGTCGTTCGGTTGCTCATCGTAATATATTCAACATCTCTTTGCTTTTGCTTGTATCTCCCTAAGAATGACGTGCTTAATGGACTGTTTGTCATTCTTCTGTTTCCTTTTGACTTAAGATTTAACTTGTGGTTAGAATTCCCTTTGGTATCTTCTTTTCAAAGATTCTGAGAAAGAGTAACAACACATCAACATACATATGTATATCAATAAAATCAAAATTTTATTCACAACTACACACTGATGTTGCAAAGGATTTTGATGCTATACTGCAAATTTGTACATGTTTTGATGCATCAAGGACATCCGTGACCAAATTCATAAATAAAAGTGTGAAGCTATTCTTATGATAAAATGTTTGCTTTTGGTTAGTTTAAACAGTATCTATATTGAAAAATCATAACAGTTTGATAACATGATTTTACATAGCAGTCAATTGTCTGCTCTATGGTCGGGTTGTTGTCTCTTTGACACATTCCCCATTTCCATTCTCAATTTTAATTATGGGATTCGGAAACAAGTTTGGTAAAACTTTTATGAAACAATTATATAACAAGCAGTATGATGTGCAGTTTAAGGTAACACATACTAAATTTCAATAAATGCACACAAACAAAAAATTATATAAAATTGCAAATTTCAGCCATCTGTTGATATTAACTTGGTCAAATGTTTAGAAATTACTTTTATTTTTTTATACTTTACTTTTTTTTATTGCAAAACATGAAACACTGGCGGGTTAAAATGCAAACATAGTACATTGTATACACAAGTGAAAAGAAACATAATACATGATAAATGTTTTAAACAAGTCAAGTTGATATTAAACATCAAACAGTGATGATTTGAATTTTGATTAAGAACGAATGACTCTTAGTGAAAGAAATTCAAGTAAAATTGGACCTTTTGGCAAATTCTATAAGTGCTTTTTTATCCATGTGTAAGGATTTTTTATTTTACTGAATTTAGGAAATTGGGCATAATGTTATCATGTATTACTGCAAACTTACCTTAGTGAAGATAAAAGACTTTCTTTCAATCTTGCTCTTATACAATGAAGTATGGAGATTTGGTGAGGACAATTGTACTAATAAGATAGTGTGAATAAATGTTATTTATATCCTTTTAACGGAATTGTTCACGTTCATTTCGTGGTAGAACTCAATCCAAATCTAAAAATATTGTCTTAGTAGAAGTCACATCCCAAAGCGGAAACGGAAAAAATTATCTTAACCGGATATTTTTAAAATAGAAAGTTAGTTTTCAAAAGGATTGCACTTCGATTTTATATTTCTTAATTGCTCATTAAAATTTCTGCAAATTAATGCTGCACAAAGATAGACATATGCAACAAATGCAGTTTTAACAGGTTATATGAAAATAAGATATGTAATGATTGCCAACGAGACACTTCAACTTTCGACAAAAGAGTAATTGACGTAGATTTAAATCCATCAAATAGTCATTAGTCATCATTAAGATTTGATCACCATATAAACACACATACTTGAGATTTGACTGTGTTTCTCTGACAATAATATGTGTGTTTTCGGTATTTGCTTCATTTTGGTGTCTGTCTGGTGTAATTACTAGTACATAAAACTTTGATTGTATATTCGGGAGTAAAAATGCCTTACTTCCATATATTGATCCTATGTAACAGAATATGAAAGTACAAATGGTCATACTGTTTATTTATGGTAGTGAAATTTTGAATTTTTACATTACTCTTTACGTTTCAAATCATTAAGTTTTTTTCTTTCCTAAGGCAGCCCCGAAACCTATGATTAATATCGGGCGTAGAAAATTGCATGAAGACTTGAATCTGCACAGATGTAGGTGTGTTGTACAAATTTTCAAGAAGAAAACGTAGAGCAAACCAATTTATTGATTTGCTCTCTCGTTCAATTGTCAGTGTTGTTTGCTGTTATTTTGTGGAAAAAAGTCGCCAAAAGGATATAGTAGTTTCGTGACAAACTAGGAAACAATTACCATGCATTTAGTTATAGGTTCTAGGTACTGACGTTGTGTATCATTTTTTCAGTTTTCCTTTTATTTTTATTTGTTCTGTCATGTTCCTTTTGGTCGTATGACTCTTGACGTAGCTCGTTATTTGTGAATCCAGCTTTCGGCATTTTGTCTTTAGATGTTCCTAATGCGGTTTGGTCCGGATGTGGGATTCGGTCGAATAAAATTTTTATAGTCATTTTCTTTTTATAAACCCTTGTAGTTATATTTAACTTAATTTGTACTTTATCAGTAAAGTGTGTATATGACATTATGTTTTACAATACTGTACTTTCAACTACAAAAAGCTTTTTTTGTTGGCGTCTTTGTTAGATTTAATTTTATGTTTGTTTTGCTATGTTTGCTTTGAAATTTTAAGTCATTTGTGTTGCATATCTATGACGTATGTTAACACAATTTGTGGCTGTTGTATCCAAATCATTGTCATGTGAAGCAATTTTTGTGAATATAACGAAACTATTCCATAACTGCCATACAAGTGGGAGGTGTATGTGGCTTGCTGTATTACCTGTTTAAAACCACCATATTCTTCGGGAAATGCCTGTACCAAGTCAGGAATGTGTCAGTTGATTGCCAGTCGTTCAGTAGTTGATATACTCGAGGATTTTGTTTTACCTTGATGTTTGATATTTTTGTTAATACATTTTGTTTTTATCAAATTGACAGCAGATATGTCGTTGTTCTCCCACTCTACTTTCTTTTCCTTTCTACTCGACTCTGAATAATCTAAGTGATCTGTATGTGAAAACCAAACGTTAAGTTCCTGGTACGGGTATATTTGTCCACAGTACCAATAAACGATGACAACATTGTGAAGATCCAAGAGAAACTACAAACTTTTGTATACTAGTATACTTTTAATGTCTGCATGGAAGCCATTGAACGGATATAAAACATTAATCACTCTTTGATTTGAAAAGTAGACTTTATTTGCTCAATAGTCAATTTTCTTTCAATATATGAATTAAGCATCTTATTTTACCATTCACTATTTCAATTGTTATTTCGGAAGATACAATCCAAATTTCTCGCTGTCTCATTTTTTACTCCGTTAATTTCAATAAATATTAATGAATTGATGTGACCTAAAATTAAGAAAGAAGTCATTTTACAAAAAATTACAAGCAAAACAAGACAGACACCATAACTTATATGATCATACATCCATGGTAACAACATTTTTCCGTTAATAATATGTTCGCAGTTATAGTTAACTACTGAATAATAGAACAAAACAAACTTTCTGGTCCCTCGAAGATTCGAAATTCTTTTAACATGTGTATTTAATAGAATTGTAAGAAATATACAAACATAATATCCTTAAATCATTATTCATTCGTTTGACTGTCTTCTCGTTTAACACGTCGAAAAGCTTTGGCCAGTTCAGAATGGGGTTCAACGCTATTTACAGGGTGTGACGATACAGTTCCACTTTTTCTTTGCGTATTCTTAAAGCGATTCAGTACACTATGTAGCTCAAGCATGGCACCGGGGTTTTCACCGTCCTTCATATCTGGCTTTTCTGTAATTTGACGCGAATTCTCCTTCAGTATTGGCTTTCCAGAATTGATTCTCTTCATCATTTCTTCCAGTGCTTTGCCATACCCCTTTTCATCTACACCTGCCTGTTGACCAGGTGCCGGTTTCTTCTTTTTGTTTCCCCTTATTCTTGCTAAGAATCCTTTTGACTGCGAAGTCGGTGGAGGCAAAGGTGGCGGTGGTGGTATAGGTGGACTCAAGGCCTCATCAAGTTTCTTTTCCAGCTCTTTATACTGTTTTTCTAGATTAGAATATAGTTTTTCATAGTTTGTCACTTTCTCTGTCAATTCCTCAATCTCGGCAGAGAGTTTATCCCTTTCCTCCTCAAGCTGTGTCAGAGCTTCCTCATTTGTGGCATTTGACGTTTGTTTTTGTAAATCGTCCACATCCCTTTCTAAATTGCTTTTTTCCTCTTCCAACTCCTCAATTTTACATAAAGCAAGAATCAGATGTTGGTCATTAGCAACTTTTGACATTAGAATTGTACTCTGTTTTTTCATGGCTTCATTTTGTGCTGTGATCTTTTGCATATTTTTCTCTGCTTCAGTCCTCTGTTTAGCTTCGATTTCATACTTGTTTTTCAAATGTTCATATTCTTCATACGCTGACTCTGACATTGTAGATAACTCAGTCATGGCATTTTGGTACTGTGTTAAAGTGTTCTCAGTTTGATTGAGACTTTGTTTTAAATGCTCATTCTTCTGTTGAAGACGAAAGTTATTTTCACGTTCTGTAGATAACTCCTCTGTAGCTGTTGCGAGAGAGGTGACATTGTGAGAAACTTTTTCCTCTAAATCTTTGATTGTGTTGTTAAGCTTATCCGTATATTCCTTGTATCCTGCGGTCTCCTCTTCCTCCTCCGGTTCTTCGAGAATTTCCTCTGGCACTTGGGTTATATCAATCTTCTCCAAATGGCTAAGCAAAGCCTGTGATTGACGTTTTAATGTGATGTTTTGAGAGGTCACTTTTCGAGCAATATTTTCAGCCTCATTTCTGCAGTTTACTTCAATGTCATATTTTACCATCAGTCGTTCATGTTCTGAAACGGCAGGTTCGATCAAACCTTTCATGTCATCCAACATGGCCTCCCTTTCTTTGAGTGTTTTAACGATTTCATCGTACTGTTGTTCATTCTCCTTATACTTTTCCAGCAGTTCATCGTACTTCTTCAGTACCTGTCTTGCTATAGCTTTAATCTCTTTTAACTCCCGACAATTAGCACAGTCAGTTGTAGCCATCATTTTATTCTAACACGGAAACATATTTATTTTGCGGAAGAAACTTTTTTATTTGTACAATTTGCTCTAATTAAAATTTTCAATTGGTTTGACAAGGAAGTGTCCTCTTGAAAGGTTCAAGCATGGGGTGGTTTATTGAATAAAATTTTAATAATTTATAATTTTATAAATCTCCATTCGAATTTTTTACAATATACTAATATAAGATAATATAACATCAAAAAGTGATCGTTAAACTTTGCTTTACTCCTCCCCCTTTTGAAGACGTACATGGGGACCGAAATTAAAATCTTGATTTGAAGTGCCCCTTGACATATATTTACATTCTGAACGGTTCAAACCACTGTTCAAAAGTTTGAATTCTGATATTGTTGAATTTTACATGTACATTTTGATAGGAATACAAAAAAAACTATCCAAGTGAACGCTTCGACTAAATTAACCGTATTGGATACATTTATATAATAATAGGATTGAAAAATATTAATTTGAGGCCTTCTGTCAAGAATACTAATTTACTCTGAAATACAACCACTTCCTTGAAAATAAATATGATTATTTGAAAAAAAATAAAGGTCATGGAATATCGATATATTCTCTCTAAAAAAAAAAAAGAAACGCATAATGATTTTTTTTCCAAAATATTGTTCTGTATACTTCAAATCTATTTTCACAGCAAAAATTCACACATAAAAGTTATACAGGATTCTAGACAATGATTTGATAAAAACAGTCAGAAACAATAAATTGGGTCAATTTCCGGTAATATCGATTGTTACCACCATGTGCGGCTAACACTATACCGCATCTATTTGGCATGAATTGTATAAAATTTCGTTTGTTTTCTTTGTATCCTTGCATTGTCTTGCTAAAACATCTGCCTCTTTATATTGTGACTGCAAGGTATCGTCTCTATAACATTGAGCCGTTAATTTCTTTGGTATGCACTAGGTTTGTTCTGCAGTTGTTAGATATTGCTGCCCATATCATGACGCTTCCATCGATAAATCTTTAAACTCCTGTACACAGGCGGTATGAAACCCTCATTTTGGGCCTGTATAAGCGGGTTCGTCCTTTCCTTCTTTTGAGAAAAATACATGACTCATCATTTACCAAATTTGGCGCCAGTTTCTCAAAGTTAAGTTCTTTAATGTATGACACCAACGAACACGTGCATATATGTGTACCTGGTAAAAACTTGTCTATAACTTATCCGAGGGCTTCATGATCAAATTCCGCAATTAGCGACTGTCTGTGTTTAAACTCTTCGTCGGTAAACTTGGAATACCAACAGCAGGTTTTGTAGCAATAGATGTGCGATTATGCACATGGAACACTCGAACCGACCTTGGGCTTGATTAGTGAGGCATGACATACCGCTGCTAGAGCAATTTTGTGCTGAACCAGCTAAAGCCCGCCTCCAGGTGCGGATTTTTCTCGCTGCTCTCGTTTTCTGCTTTTTGGTCGGGTTGTTGTCTCTTTGACAGATTCCCCGTTTCATTCTCTATACTATTCTCTGCCGAAGGTTAAATGCAGCAGAGTGCATAGCGGCATTTTAAAGTCGCAATGACAATCGCATTTTTGACACATGTATAGGTTTTATACACAATAGTTGCAAGGGTAATTTAGCCACAAGTTTAACTGTTCTTCTACACAGTAACTATATTTTTCATGTCTTACAATTTGTTCGTACTGGAATTCTGCATTTTAAGTACAACCGTGTCAACTCATTGCTTGGATATTTGATATTCACTTATTTATTGTCGACGTTTCTTTAAAAAATTAGTCGGTCCTTTGTATTTCGTTTTTGTAGATTATACATCTATTTTGTTTCTTTTTTATGGCGTGTAGAGTATCGAATTTTCTTCTTTTCTTTTTTTTTTTCTAAAATGATATTTGGCTAAAAAGTATAGACTTAAGGCTAAATATGAGGTGTGCCGAAATCAGGATCGAAAAAAAAAACAACAGCGAAAATTTCCAGATATGTTATATATCCTATATTGGAAATTGGAAAATTCCATTTGTATCTATATATCTAGATATGTATAATTTTTTGACAGATTGCCTACTTTATGGAAGGACATTCTTGTACTCGGTTGATTATGAGACACTAAATAAGTAAAATAAAGCTTACAATCGTTGCAATTTGTGGGAAAAAATTACTGTTTTTCTATGATTTTGCCTTGATAGAAAAACAAAAAAACTATTTGAAACTTGAAAAAATTTAAACAATTCAAAAATGTACATTAAGGGATATGTTTCAGGATTATTATATATACGAGAGTAAAGGCTTTAAGTAGTTTGCAATTCTAAATAGAAAAGAAATAAGTCTTGTTAAAAAAAAGTTCATAAAATAGTTTATCTTTTCAATGAGAAGCAGGTTTATTGATTCACGATAGAAACTCTTACACGTACTTCCCTAAAACAAAAGAAAGGACGTCTTTATTGTTTATATTCAAACAAAGAGATCAAAGTTTACTGATAAAAAAGAACAAAACACTTGTTTGCAATGCATACCAAAGAAAACGATATCAATCTGTCTATTTTTCACATGATTTTTCGACCGTGTGAAATCATCTTTTGATATTCAAATATAGATACCAGATTGTTTAATATTCTTTCATTTCGATATTAAATCCAGAAGAGTAAGCTCTTTTCTCCATTAGTAAGCAAAATCAAAAATCAGTATAGTGTATAAAGAGTTATCAATAGAAAGAAACTTAGATTATTATCAGTTTACGCATGCTTTGATTTATGTTTTCCGGATACCAGTTTAATCTATTTTTTTTTTATATGAAATACATTTAAGAATTGTTGTCTTGATACAAGATTTTAGATTTTAACACTGCTTACATTCGATGACTGGTTTACATACAATGCAAACACGAAAAAAGTAAAAAAAAATCATCGTTTTTTTTTTCACTCATATCCAAATAAACATAAAGTATTGTCCCAATTATGCCTGTAATACTGGTCACTGGAAGAGGGGCAATAAATAACCATGTTTTATAGATTTACGTCCAATCAAGTAAACCGATGAAATATATCAATAATTTCCCCAAATGAAGAAAAAACATGACTGTCATTTATTTAGTGCACAAATTATTAGGTATAAACATATAAGCAGTAAGATTTCACATACTAAATAAATTAATTATATCCAGTCTATCTCAATTATGCAGATATATTAAAATGCATTAAACAAATCTCAATTTGAACAAAAAATGCCATTAAAGTAGCATTGGTACTATTTGTTGAATGATTTCATTTTACATCTTGTTGGGTATGCCTTTAGAATGTTTTCACAAATAAAAGGAGATGTGGAATATACATCTATGAGTCAGTAACTCTATGACAAAAATAACCAAAACGCATCTAGAGGGCAACAAACAGCCTCCAACAAAAGGTAGGTGTCTTTACAATATCACAAGCTCTAAATCATCCAGTTTGTTACACATTATTCTCCATAAAATCTCGGTTAACTTCAGTTCTATTTTTAATTCATTTATTTCATTACTTATTCTTGATTTTTCCACGTTTTTTTTTCTGCTGTTATTTTTTGCTTTTTGATGATGCAATTTTGTATGGAGCTATTTACTTAAAAGATTTAAAAGACAACTTAACCAATTTAAACTGATTGTAATTGAAAGAATGCCCTTCCTATTCAGGTTTTATAGAAAATACTCAAATTTGTCAAAAGACATCAAATTTGTTGTTTTTGAACCATTTTTAGAGACGTTTACTATTTGGTAAAATGTTCAAAAATACGTTGCCATGTTATTAAAACCTCAATGTGCACACATGAACCTGTGATACTATCATGCATATTGTAAAAATTGAAAGATTTCAAAAATATGGACGCGGTGTACAATAAATTCGGGAGATATTAGCCCTACCTCTTTATGGTAATGCTAATTGGTTATAATCATTAAAACTTGGTTTCGGTTTCGTGCTATTCAATGTTTCGACGTTTGGGACATGAGCGTATACCTGGTGTAGTTGGTCATGAACATCGCTTTATGCACAATAAATATAAAGTCTTAAATAGTTATGATTATTTTTTTCAGTATTTTATGGGCTTATTATGCAAACAAGAATTTTATCTCGTTAAACACAAACTAAATGAAGAATATTATTTTTTTTTTCTTTTCTGCATGTTGACACAAAAAAATTCCCATAAATATTCTGGAATTCCAAGTGGTTTTCATTGGAACATACAGAAAAACATATTGAATACTTAAGTATTTGCTTTTTTTTATATGTTAGTCCTAATTTTGGCGAGAATGTTGCTTCATTATCATATTAGATATGCAGCACACATGCACATGTGTACAAGTTAATTTGTGGCAATGATACCATGTGCACAAATCCAACTACGAGTCGACTTAAACATTTCTGACTACATACTGTTAGGCTTGATAAGCGGGTATTATTCATGGACTTTTGCCAACAGAATGTTTAAAATAATGTCTATTGGAAGACAGATTGTCTCCATAAAACAATATGATAATATCTGGTTACTAAAAATCAGACCGTGGGCGAAATCGACATTTTAGGTGAAAGTTTGAAACTTAAGGAAATACCAAAAGAAGATAATAATAGAACTTTTGAAAGTGAAACTTGATTTATCATTAAATATGTATGCGCTCTAGCTTCCCTGTGAAAACAATTAATTCTGCTAATTTTAAGCGTCGGGGTATGTGAATTTTAACAGGCTTTTCAACTAGTTACATAATTGATAAAATAAAATTTCTGCCAACAACCGTAAATCTTAGGATATTCCGAACGGAATAATGACAATAGATAAGCGGTGTATCATTAAAGGGTCACTTTATAATCTCCCGTTTCATAAGATTTAAAATGATATACATTTTTTATGATATGATTGTTTTCTGTGAGAGTCCCACGGAGTCCCATAATTGATGTATCAACACTCATATCATTTTTTACTAAGATAAAAACTTTGCATTAATTTTGAAGATTGGATCATTTAAAGACATTCTTAAGAACGTTTTTCGTCGATTCTATATGTGAAATTTGAGCTGCAG